TGAACATAGAAATGGGAGAACGAATCACAGCTTTGCAAATGCTAAACCAAATTTTACCAAAAGACTTTTGGAATAACATTGTTACAGAAAGCAATCGTTACGCGAGTCAAACTATAGAAGATGAAACCCGAAAATTAAAACAATCTGAAGAATATTGAAGGGATACGAATATAGATGAAATTCATGCTTATTTTGCATTATGCATCTTGATGGCACAAGTAAAAATGCAGAATGTCCAATCCTATTGGTCAAGAAGAAAGATTATCGAGACACATTTTTCGGAAAACAATGCCATTACGGGGAGATTTGCGCAACTTTCCCGTTTTTTACACTTTTCAAATAATGAAGTTGGAGATAAAGATGATCGTTAGATAAAGATGATCGTTTATGCAAATTACGAGTTATAATCGATTATCATAATGAAAAATTTGTAAGTATTTATACTCCCGATGAATATGTGTCATTAGACGAATCTCTCATGAAATATACCGGTCGAATGTCTAAATCAGAATATTGTATGAAATTTAAAATATACACAGACCAAAATAAAGTGAAAAATTCAATCACCAGTGCTTCCGAAAATGTCACCATGTCTATGTATAGACCAATAGCTAATTTCGGACACACCTTATTTACGGGTAACTGGTATTCTTCGCCAAACCTGTTTCAAAAATTGCAATCCATGCAAGTCAATGCCATAGGAACAGTAAGATGCAATAGAAAAAATATGCCGAAAGAGCTAGCAACGATAAAACTGAAAAAATCAGAAGCTATTTCACGATCGTGCATAGGTATTTTAGCTGCAAAGTGTAAGGTCAAAAAAGGTACATATTTATTGGCCACGAAACATAAAAAAATTGAAATGATGGAAGTGGAGAAGAAGAGACGGAAAAATAATATCACTGTTACAAAGCTCAGTATCGTGTTGGAGTATAATGATGGCATGGATGGGGTAAGATCACCCACATAGCTACTTATCTTCTTTCTCACTTGTGAGAAAATAGATAAAAAGTTATAAAAAATTATTTTTTTACTTAATGGATATTGCACTTTTTAATGCTTATGTTTTATTTTCGAAGACATGGAATATATTAAAAAGCAAAAAATACACGTTTTCAAAATTTCGATTAGATGTGGCAGAACAGATTTTAGAAAGTGTATGTACAGTTACTCCCACTCGTATTCGTATACTATATGGCGACTCACTATAAATGGAAAAACCGTTGTTTCTTATGAACTCTTTTTATTTATTTTTACCGAATATTGTTTATTACACCGTTTCACTTCTGTTTACAAAGCAGTTTTGTTTTCTATTTACAAAAAGCAAACAAAAAAATTAAAGAATATTACTAGTCGTAAAAGGGACCTCTCACTCATATTCGTACAGTGATTTTTTTCAGTATAATACGTATCCTAGGGACTTCTTTTCTATATCGGGAAATCCCCGGATATTAAACAGAAACAAAAGAAAGACTATCGTTATTGTTTTGTCTAAATAGAAGCAATTGGTTAATTACTAAGCAAAATCGGCAGGAAAAGTACAGAAACGACTATTGAGTTGCGAAAATTTATTATTAATCATCGTAAAAATGGAAAAAGTCTACGTGAAATAAGTGAAATTGTGAATAGAAGTAAGTCTACTCTACAATATATTATAAAGCGTTTGAACACAGTAAACAGAATTGAAAATAAAGTACGAAACCTCAACAGAAAGTTATTAACTTACTGTGAAGAAAGACGAATTTTAAAAGAAATAAGGACAAATCCAAAGATTAGTGCCCTTAAAATTGCTTCCAAGGTTGAAATTGAAATGGAGAAAAAAGTTAGCACCGAAACTGTGCGTCGCGTCCTAAGAAGGTATGGTTAGAACCGAAGTGTTGCTAGAAAAAAAACCCTATATAAGCGAAGCGAACCGCCAAAAACATTTGCAATTTGCAAATAAGAAACGCCAAGTGGATGTATGAGAACTGGAAACGGGTGATTTTTACCGATGAAAGTAAATTGAATGTTTTTCAATCA